AAAATAAATAATAGAAATAAACAAATACGACAAGATGCTCTCAATCCTGCAAGTTAACAATGATGACTAAAATTTCTTTGGAAATTATGTAGGATTTATAAAGTTGTGCCATAAATGTCACGTATTTTTCATCATTATAACTTTTTTATTGAAGTACTTCCAAATTATTGACTATATAGCATGGTGAACATGTTGTTACATCAATCATCGTTGCTATTTATTAAGTTTTGTCAATAAAATACATTTTAATTAGAAGAAAACTTTTTATCGTTTTCTTCTCGTCAGTGAAGAAATATAATTAATAATTTTCTCAATTTGATGTGGATGATTGTATTGTATGAAAGTTTGTTTAGCTATTATCTACGTCTCAGTATATCTGCGATGTGATGCGCTCGCGAATGTGCACGTAGACAGAATATTGCTTTAACTTATGCTACATAGATTTTCGGTATTGACATAAAATGTTCAATTATAAATATCAGGTATCGTATCTTGTACATGTTGTATCTTATTACTCTCGATTTCGCCAGTCTTTTCCGAGAATACATGACGAAACATAATGTTTCATTGCATATATATTTCATGAATATACATCTATATATATCTATGTATGTATATATACAATATCTTTACACCAAAATTTTTAAGAAAAGGAACATACAAAATAAGATAATGCGGAATGTGAACAATATATAAAATGTACATTTATAACAAATGGTACAAATGAAAAAAGAAAAGGTATATGTTCATAATTATTTACAAAAGTAGAAAAATTGATATAAACAATGATTATTAAAAAATAATTATTTACAGAGAACAATAATAAAAACAAGCATTATCTCTGTCTTAATTAAATAAACTGTTGAATTGCAAATATTCTATAAATATAATAGTTTATCAATCATATCGATTTACAAGTAATTAAAATTATAAAATGTTACGGAAATATATGTCAATTATGCTACATAATTAATAATTAATAATATAAATGCAGCCACATATATTTACATATATATCGTTTTAGAAGTATTGACGGTTTATATTCATCATTAAACACTCTAGGCACACAGTTCAGAATGGTCAATTGAAGACATACAATTTGTTCGTCAATTTGTTCAAAGTAAAAATTTAAAAAAAAATTAAAAAAAGGAGAAGAATCTGTCGAGTCCTGTACTTTAGGCCCACTAAGAGATCATTTATCTATTTTCGTTACCTGACTTAAACACGTCATCGCTACCAATACGAGTGAATACTAAGCTTGTTGCTGATCGTAGACTGTAAGTTCATTCAATTATTATATATTGTTATCAATTCAATAGCGAATAATTACATTAATAACATACCTTCACTATATTCGTTCGAATTATTGGCTTGAATCTTTTGCTCTCCTATGTCTATTTCAGCATTCGTTGAACTTTCGCATGTTTCGTTATTGCTACGTTAAAAAAGAATATATTTTTTATTATTCCATTTTATAGAAAATCGACAAGTCACAGATGATTATGATATTTACCTATTTCTAAAATGTTCCAGTTGTACGTTTGCAGATTCTAATTGCTCCATAAGATCCTCATTGACCCGTTGCAATTTTCGTACGCTGTTTGTAGCAGCGTCGACCTCGTCCTGAGCAGCGGTCAGATCTTTCTTTAGTTCCTCGACTCTTGCTCTCACTCGTTTCACCTCCTGCCTCATATTGCTCGGATCGTCTCATCGCGTGCGACAATTCTGTTGTTTTCTCTGCCAAAGATTGTTTTAATGCTGCTTGATACTGCTTTACTTCCAACAAGATCTGCAAATATCACATGAAAAAAGCAAAATAACAACTATATTGAAAACCATTATTAATTCCATACAATTATTAAAATCAGACCATATTGCGAACTAGAATTTCATGTTGCAATTGCCTCGTGTCTGTGTCAACTGTAGACATTGGTCGTGGTCGCCGTGATTCTACTCTCTCTTGCAATTCGGATAATTTTAAGCGAAGCAACTTGTTCTCTCGTTCTAAAGAAATTTTCTCAGTTTCTAATCTCTCCCTTTTACTCCATTCTATTGCATTTTCAGCTTGAAGTTTCTCCAACTAAAATTTTATATGAATAAATCTTCATAATCTTATAATAATATATAGTATACATAAAAGATATAAAAAAGCAACTCTCGAATACTTGAAAAAAAAATATATATATAAAGTTCTTATAATTTAAACAGCTTACTTCTGTTCTTAATTCTGTCAAACGGCGGTCCATATTTTCTTCATTATTTGTATGTTCTATTAAATCTGCTATATGTTCATCACTAAGTTCAAGTTGGAAACGTTCTTTTAATTCTGATAATTCTCTCATCGCGTCGGTTCTACTCTCAGACAATTCCTCGCATTGCTCTCTTAATTGTTTAACTTCAGCTTTTAATTTTTCCACAGTCCGGTGTAGAGAATTGTTTTCCCTTATAAAATATAATATTTATAAAATATTTATAAATTTATTTTATTTATATTTATAAAATATAAATAAAATAAATTTATATGTAATGTAATGTAAATTAGTTTTGCATATTATGAATTTTTTGCAGACTTACTCTCTTTCTACAGAAATAGTTTTCGTCGCTTCTTCCAATTTCAATTGCAGTGCTGACATTTGATGGGTTAAACATTCTTCGTTATACATATCTAATGGCGATTGTTGTTTCTCTAGTCCATCTTTTTTGGCATTATCCGCGACTAGTTTCGTGATATTTTTGTCTAAAGAGTTACTAGGACTTTCTTTATATAATTCTACTGCATGTTTTGGCACAGCACCTTGCAAGACATATTCTTCAATGTCTCTTTCTGCTAAAGTATTGTGACCAGCCGAAACAACATTTGCTGCTTCGTGTGAATTTTTACAGCATAGCATATCTCTTTGTGTACCTAACATATTGCTGGCTTCAACATTATTATAAAATTCCAGTTGTTCATCCAATCCAAAAGTAGCTTTCAATTGCGGATCTGATTCTAAAATAGTAAAGATCTGTTGATCAAACTGTCCAGCGTGTTTCAACAGTATCATGTGTATTTTCTCCATCTCTTTTTTCAATTGCTCGTTTTGCAATTCTAACTCTTGAAATTCGTGCTTGAAAGTATTAGCATCTTTAACAGCAATTTCCAGTTTTGCTCTTAAAGCCTTTGCCTCGTCTCTAGCTGCATTTCTTTCATTCCTAACTTTGCTCCATTTCTCACGCCAATTGGCAGTACAATCGGACCACCATCGCATTGTCTTTTCCATTTGTGCTGCTCGTGCTCTTGCCTCTTCAAGTTCCCGTTGTCGTAAGGCCTGTTTAATTAAAAAACTTGTAATAATTAAATAACAAAATACTAGAGCCAATCAAATCTCTCAAAAAATTATTATAAATACAGATTAAAAATTTGAATTTCTAACTATATATATATATATATATATAGTGTATACTAATTACTTAAGTTATATACTAATTAT